AATCTCTGAGATATTATTTACAATCTCTGAGATATTATTCACAATCTCTGAGATATTATTCACAATCTCTGAGATATTATTTACAATCTCTGAGATATTATTTACAATCTCTGAGACATTATTTGCAATCTCTTAGATATTATTTAAAATCTCTGAGCTATTATTCCCTCTCTTTCAGTTATTATTCACAATCTCTGAGCTATTATTCATAATATCTGAGATATTATATTCACAATCTCCGAGTTCACTATCAGATAATTAATTAGGATAATTGGATCTGATCAACCCTTGATATTAGATTTCACGTTCAACTTCTCGCCTTTCTTCTCCTAATTAATCAGCTTCAAGTTACATTACGATCTTTAAGACGTACATGTTTTGTTCTGGTCAGAGAGTCTTTACGTTCGAACCTGTGTTAGTAGTTTATGTGCACACTGAACCTTTTTTCCATCACCTTTAATATCAAATATCTGCAGTTTTTCAGATCGCAGGTTTAATGGAATCCTCTGAAGCGAAATTAAAGATTTTTCGGTGATGGGTTTGATTCTTTGCCACAAACTTAAATGTCATAATCCTCATATCTTTGCAAGCTGATGGTTTCAAATATTGAAATTTCAAACTTTGATTTTATGATCAAACAAAATTCATAATTTGAAATGCCCAGGGTCTACGACATTGGGTTGCAAAATTATAGGGATTAGAAAATTAAAGTTTGTGGCAAAGACTAAAATCAAAAAATACAAATCTAATGATCGTGTGACTTTATATTTTTACTAATTTTAGGTTTCTGGCGTTACTGCTTTATGTAGCGGTCAGTTTATCCAATCCAACCTTCTTCTCCTATACAGGCGGTCAACCTGGGCCATCTTCCAGGTACAGTAGTTTAAACAAAATTATGTTGTCGTCTTCATTAAGAAATGTCGATTAAAATTATTTTCAAAATTCCATGAAAGTTTCAAGACACTTTTTAAATATGCTTCGATTCGTTACTTTTATCTAGTACTAGGCCACTCAATTTGTTGTCAGGTAAAACTAACTAAACCCAAATACATTGTACAGCCTATCCTGTCTGTATCGACATATCCAATAAAAAAGTATAAAATAGCAAATAAGAAAATTATTATTTAACCTAGCGCCTCGGCCAGGACAGGTTAGGGGGCCGGGCGCTGCAGCCACATGACCAATTATACCCATGTACAAAATTGTTAGGAGTGGGGGGGGGGGTCAAAAATAGTTCTCTAGGAAATCACTGAAAATTGATTCCAAAGTTATGGGCTCACTGACTTTTAACCTAATAAAAATCTTAGCCGTTTAGAATTTTTTTTTGCAAGCTTTTCGAACATTATAAAGAATATCTATAGTATATGCACCTTATTTTTTTTAAGTCTTATCAATAATTAGGGCAAAAAATCGTTGGTTTTTGTATGAAGATCTATTTTTTTTATTTTTTTTTTATTACACATGTATTTTTTACTTTTTCACCTGGACATCATTCTTATTAACATTAAACCTATGACGAAAAAAGAATTAAATGTATTTTATTAAACTTTAAAATTCTTTTTGTAAATTGATTCCTGGCAAACATCAGCATGATATTTTCAATCTTTATTTTTAACAAATTATCTTGAAAATTGTTGCTTTGATTTTTCTGAAATACATAGTTTGAAGGAGAAGGATTTATTTTCAAGTTCAATTCAAATTCATGATTTTACAAAATAAGAATTTAATCAAAATATTTTCTTCTTTTTGATTAATTTTTTCTATCTGGGCTGGTGAGTTGGATTTAACCTTGATTTTCTTTTATTTTAAAATATAGAATAACAACAAAAATATGCATTTTTAATTTGGTACGTCTAAGAATCGTATCCTCTCCATTAAAGGTACTGTAAGTGTTATTAAAAATGACCTTCCGTGCAAAGATGGCAATGCTCAATTCACAACAGTACTCTTGAAACCTTTATCTAATCCATACTGTGGAAGATATTGTCGTTTGCCTTGGTTTAAGTTTTCATTTTTAATAATTTTGTGGAGAAACCACAATTGAAAATATTCTGTAAACATTGATATCTAGGCCGAAGGGGTGAGGGGTAGAATTGTAGCTAAAAGCTAAGACTTATTTATCTGTAGATACTTTATAAGACAAACCTTTTCAGGGTACCCTTGTTAGTCGGATATTACCATCTTTGCGTGGGGGGGGTCACTTGAAATTACGCGTACAGTCCCTTTAAGATAAAGACACGGTTTTGTTTAGATTTATCCATTTCACGAGAAATCTTGGATCAGAAAATACAGATTTTCAACCTTTATTCGGTTCACTTCAGGTTATACATAGCAATTATTTATGCTGCTCTAAATACCTCTTGTAGTTCTAATCAAAGTTTCATGTATTTTTTTTCATGTTATTAAATGATAATTCATTAATCTTAATTATATTAAACAATTAGATATAGTAATTACAGTCATCAGATTATCATTGTTATATTAAATGCATGAGCTTTTCCTCATTTATTCTTTACTCTGTATCTTCTTTCTTTTTCCTTTTTATAGTACCCCCCCTCCCCCCACTTCTCTTTCTGATTTCCCCCTCAGATCATTAATGTTTCTGCAATGGTATTTCAGATTTTGAGTATATGTTTTTTATTTGAATAATTTAGGTCCGGGATCCTGGTTTATATTTTCTCAGGAATAAAAACAAACTTTAAACATTTCTTTGTGTACAAAATGTACATATATCTTTATATGGTTTTGCAGACAGGGTTCTCTACTATTAAAGAAGGAATTTAAATGTAGTTTTTTATACCAATGCAGTATTGTAGAAAAAAAAATTTAGGATTCATTTGAGACATTTCCACGATGTATAATTACTGAGTTTGAGTGCAAAGTCCATGTTCAAAATCATGAATTTGAGTACGTTTTCAAAATCGGATTTTTTGATTATTAATTAACGACGACAAAAAATATAATAAAAATTTTGTTCAAGCGTGTAGTAAACTGTAAACTATATATTTAGTTTAGCGTGTAGTGAACTGTAAACTATATATTTAGTTCAGCGTGTAGTAAACTGTAAACTATATATTTAGTTAAGCGTGTAGTAAACTGTAAACTATATATTTATTTTCGCGTGTAGTAAACTGTAAACTATATATTTAGTTTAGCGTGTAGTAAACTGAAAACTATGTATTTAATTCATCATGTAGTAAACTGTAAACTATATTTTTAGTTTAGCGTGTAGTAAACTGTAAACTATATATCTAGTTTATCGTGTAGTAAACTGTAAACTATTGCTCCTATAGCAAACAAGCCAAACTAATTAGAATTCCAAAGTCAAAGTTTGTTCATTAAGATTTGAAAATTTGGATTTAAATAGAATAAAGACTAAATATAATACAGATCTAACAGGAAATATAGGAATTTATAAGGTGCAAGGGTATTTATCCAGTGTAGACGTAATGTTTAATCACTGTTCGTTGGGGGACATGGTCGAATTAAATATGACAGAGTCCGAATTTAATGAATTTAAGCCGAGTCTTAAATCCGCCAAAACCCGGTTTCAACTAAGCGCCGGCTAAAATCTTGAAACATTGAATACATTTTAAGTGAAACCAACCATATTTGAGTCGCGTCTCAAATTTAAACCGCTGCTCAAATTCTTTAAATTCGGCCTCTGATCTCCAAAAATTAAGAAACAAAGGTGTAATGATTATAAAAAATTATAAATCATATGTTTAGTTGTTAATATCTTTCTTTAGGCGAATTAAATTATTTCTGTTTTATAATTTAATGATATTATATCTTTCTGAGCAATTTCTCAATTGTCCTGATGTTGGGTCCCAACTCTAATTTATCAATCATATATAATTTAAGCTTATCTTACAGGGAAGTCTATATCTATATCTATATAGATACTTTGCTTGTCTGTTTGCGCTTCTTTTTTGTTTGTGTCCAATAAACGTCCAAACGGCTGAACCGATCGGGCCCAAATTTTGTGTAAGGTTTATAAATGATCAAAATTGTACCTCCAACAAATTCTATTTTCATTAAATTTTGAAAATCAACGACATTTTTTATAAAATCCGCGACCTTTTTTGTTACTTTTTGTTTTTCAACACCATATAAAGAGAAAATTTCAATTGAAATAGAAGATTGGCGCGAAACGCCCTGTTAGCCTAGTAAACTGCATTTTTCTATTTGTCAATTTGTAGATTGTACCTTCAGTTAAAACTTTGTTTGCTGTTGTTCAATTTATTAAAACTAGAAGTTAGAACTTTCCTGTCTGAATCTCGTTATCAATTCAATTCCTCTTCGATATCCCATGGGAGTCACAGACAGCTAAATTGAAGAGATTAAGCAATTTTCCTCAATTTTGAAAGTGTCCACATTGGATATCGAGACTAAGAGTTTAAGATTAACTATACTTTACACAAGTTCCGACCTGAGGTTGACTTTGATGTATCAAGTTTAAAACTTTTCAGAGTATGGAGTTGAGTAAATCAAGGATTAACGAATCTGTAAACGTAACTTACGTGACTTTTGATTTATAAAGTGGCATATGCGATTCACAACGGTACCTTCATAATCTTTGCCTGATCTACCAATATTTCTCTTTTTCAAATTTTTATTTTTTTCATTTGTTTTATTTATGTAACTAGCACCTTTCTGCAACAGACGCACATGGAGTCAGAATTGAACACTGTCCATGTCAGAAAATAGACGATAAATTTTACATTATTAATCAAGTCAAGGTTTCCTAGGTAAATATACCTCTGTAAATGAAGTTAAAAAAAATATTTAATTTTTTTAAAACGAAAATTTTCTCATTTTATTATAACCCAAAGTGGAAAATTTATACACCATGATATCACAAAGTTCGAAAAATCTAATATTTTTTATAATCTCGAAAAGCTGAAAATAAAAAATTAATTTTCCATCAAGATTAAATTTGTTTTCCTGGTCCAGCAATTTATAAGTTCTTAAGTAAGTAAGTGAGTAATCATTTATTTATGAAAATAAGAAAAACAAACAAAATTAAGTGTTTAAGGAGTAAATATTTGAAAACCTCCAAAAATACCACCGGAAAAAATGTATCAATTAATACAAATATTTTTAAGAATTCAACCAAGGACACAGGAAACGTCATTTTAAAAGTTTATTTATAGCTGACAAAATGTCTGTCATGAAATACAGTAAACACTACGTATACACTGGGAGAGTCGGAATCTTCAAGCAAAATGAGAAAAGGATGATTAAACTAATCCTGTATGCCGAGTCCATTAGTGCCTGATCCAATCAGGGTTCAGTCATGTGTTTGTTGTCTATTCTGAACCAACAGAAATAGTATGGCGGTAACATCTATCTTTCTATCTATCTCATTATCCAATCAGAGTTATGAATCCTTCAATCGGCGCTATCAGCAAATGGAATTATTTACTTCTACTGAAACTATGGTGGAAACATTAAAGGGAATGTAAGGGTGATTATAAGTGACCCTCAAATCAAAATTAACACTGCCCGATTTACAAGAGTACCATTGAAACCTTAACAACAATATGGAATTTCACATCGTTTTCTCACTTGTAAAATTTGTTCGTTGTTCCTTCCTTATCAGCAATAAATTGGCAATTCAATTTTGCAGAAAATCCGCAAATCAAATTAAAACAGTTTAATCTATATACAAATTTGGCTTGTCTGTCTGTCTGTTTGTCTGTTTGTTTGTTTGTTTGTTTGTATCCAATAAACGTCAAAACGGCTGAAGCGATCGGGCCCAAATTTTTTGTGGGACATCTAGGGACCCCAGGGAAGGTTTATGAAAAAATAAAATTTCAAATATTTGTCTCTATCAAAATTCGATCGTCATTAAATTTTTAAAAATTTTGAAAATCCGCGAAATTTTTTGTAAAAATCCGCGAATTATTTTTGTTTTGTTTTACGATGTACACAAAGAGAACATGTTCACCACTAATTTAGAAGATGGGCGCGAAGCGCCCTCTAAGGCTAGAAAGAAGGGCGCGAAGCGCCTTGAATTTCTAGTAAAACAAAAACATTGATATCTAATTAATATTTAATCAGATAAAGGTTTCAAGAGTACCTTTGTTACATTTTTACATGAAGGGTCACTTGAAATTACGCTTACAGTCCATTTAAACATGATCTGGAAAGAAAATGAGTCTAACCCACAAACTCAAATTTTTAAATTCTTTTATTTTTTTCAACCTGATGGCGTAAATCTTTGAAATGTCAAACTGAAATAAATTGATCTAATAGAATTCAAGTACTATAATATCCGATTTTTTTGCCAAAGAATTAATACCTTCGATTAAATATATGGTATAGACTATGATTTACAGACAAACTTAAAGATTAGCTATCTAATTATTAGATTTTTAAAGGAAACTATAGTTGACAGATGGCTGAATGCTTTAATACATGGCATATATACCTATAGCTATTTAAATAAAACTAGATGTTGAGACTATTTCAAAATAAAAAATTTTTTAATAAAGCATAATATTTTCTATCATTAAAAACTAGATTCCAGACAAGATTCTTAATTGATCAAAGAAGATTATCAAAGGTTGGAAACTATACAATGGAGGTCAGGAGTTAAGGGAAGGATGAGGGGAAATATCATGAGGGAAATCTTGGATAGGATAATGGGAGAAATATAATGAGGGGAGGATGTAGGAAGGATGAGGGAAGGATGAGGGAAGGATGAGGGAAGGATGAGTGAAGGATGAGGGAAGGATGAGGGAAGGATCAGTGAAGGATGAGGAAAAGATGAGGGAAGAGGAAAGATAAAACATGTTTGAATAAACCCACTCTTAACTTGACAAATATTTAATGCATTATTCACAAAGTGCATAGGATCAAATCCGTTGCACTTTGCATCCAAATATTTAATATCTCACATAAACTAGATAGATATATGTTAAAGAAAGTTTAAATGAACTTGTATTTGTGGATTTTTGGTCTGAATACTTTTATCAGTTCAAGCAAAAGTCTGGGATTTGGCTTTGATCCATTTAACTTTTATTGAATGGTTCAACCTTGGATTTAGGCCTTAACCCACCCCTACTCCTAATACAGGGTCAAGTAACCAGCTTAACCCATCCCTACTCCTAATACTAGGTCAAGTACCCGGCTGAACCCCTCCCTACTTTAGATCCTGGGTCAAGTACCCGGCTTAACCCATCCCTACTCCTAATACTAGGTCAAGTACCCGGCTGAACCCCTCCCTACTTTAGATCCTGGGTCAAGTACCCGGCTTAACCCACCCCTTCACCCAGTCAAGAACCTGGCTTAACCCACCCCTACTCCTGATACTAGGTCAAGTACCCGGCTTAACCTACCCCTTGCCCTTGTTTTGAATGCCCGACATTTTCTGGAATTTTGAATATCTAACGTCCCTGCATTTGGGTTTCAGATCGAACCATGACTGGTAAGTTTTAGTCCGGCATTTCCTTTTGGATCTGGTTTAAAGAATATTTCGCCAAAAGAAATTCAAGATAGCTGAGCCAATTGAGTCGTCAGTCAATCTATTCTACAACTGCTGTCTTTATATCTCTACCTGTTTTGTAACCTTGCTTTTCATTCTGATATTTTGATATACATACCTAGAACAAAAAATCTTTAGAATATTAAGAGATAGTTAAAAAACAAAAACTATATCTTCAAATGTAGATTATTTGAAACCAAAACAAATAAAATCTAGATAATTGTGGAAATATTTGTTATTGTTTGTTTTGTTTCCCAGTTTCAGTCTTCAATCATCTTCTGATCTAACTGCAGTACTTTACCATTATCCTACACAGGTTAGCTTTATCATTACCCTACACAGGTTAGCTTTATCATTACCCTACACAGGCTAGCTTTATCATTACCCTACACAGGTTAGCTTTATCATTACCCTACACAGGTTAGCTTTATCATTACCCTAGGTTAGCTTGCTCATAATCTTAGGTTAGCTTGCTCATAATCTTAGGTTAGCTTTATCATTATTCAAGGTTAGCTTTATCATAATCCTAGGTTAGCTTTAACATTATTCAAGGTTAGCTTTATCATAATCCTAGGTTAACTTAATCATAATCTTAGGTTAGCCTTATCATAATCCTAGGTTAGCTTTATCATTATCCAAGGTTAGCTTTATCATTATCCAAGGTTAGCTTTATCATTATCCTAGGTTAGCTTTATCAATATCCAAGGTTAACTTTATCATTATCCTAGATTAGCTTTATCATTATCCAAGGTTCGCTCTATCATAGTCCTAGATTCGCTTTATCATTATCCAATTACGCTTACAATCCCTTTAAAAGGAGGAACCATTGAATACTTTTTATTTTAGATTATTAAAAGACAGGGAAGAGAAAATGATAACAGGGTTGCCGTCACAGGGTGTTCAGTCAAATCTACTGCATCATGTACAGGTATATGTACAGTTGTAGTTTACGGGTATATATTTGTACAGTATATGTGTACAGGTTTACATTTGTACGGGTATATATATATATATGTATTTGTACAAGTATATGTACATCAAAGTGTGCGGATTTGCGGGTATATTTACGTCCAAACTAGTATTCGGGTATTGATATGTACACCCTTATGTACAGTTAAGTGTATGGGTGTATATTTTCATATTTGAGCTTAAAATTAGGGAAAGCACAACTAATTCAACTAATTTAAGTTGTTGCTCATTATAATAAATTTTTTTCTCGTCTCGAAGGAATTTAACAAACTTCAAACCTTTTTTATAGAAAAACAACAATATCTTTCTTTTGGTAACACGGACAGAGTCACTTGAACTCGTGTGCATATTCATTTAATGACAGGTTTTGATGATATTTATAATGATTATTTTTACAGGAGGTGCATTGGTTCAACTCAGTCTAGGAGATGTACTCAGATTAGAGATAGAGAAAGGTAAAAAGTAAACTTGGAAACACATCCTTCAGAGAGTGAATTCAAAGAATTTTAGCCGCAGCTCAAATTTTAGCCGCGGCTTAAATTTTAGCTGCGGCTGAAATATAGTTGGTTCCATTTAAAATTGTATGTAATGTTTCTAGATTTAAGCTTGCACTTAATTAAAACTGGTTTTGGCGGATTTGAGTCGCGGCTCAAAGTTATTAAATTCCGACTCAGGGCTATCTGAACACGATGAAGGATCCAAGATTTTGACACAAACTTTTATTTCATAATTTTTTAATTTTTAATCTGCACTTTTGATAATGCAAACTTTTTGATCTAATAGAATCCTAAGATTATAATATATGACATTTGGTTTTAAGGATAAATAAGGATTTAAAAATCAAAGTTTGTGGCAAATGTTTAGCTTTTTTGGCCTGATAATTTATAAATGTCATCGTGGGTGCCGGGAGATGAACCAATCGTTTAAATCTCTCAAGTTTTAACCAATTAGAGTTTTTTCTTGATTTCCCAGCAGTCATTGCTAAAGGACAAATTAATCACATTTTGGTCATTTAAGATTTACTCTTTAAAGAAAAAATTGTGGATAAAAGATTGTATGAAGTTATTCATATTTTGTATTCTCACTTTTCTTTAATATTTCAAACTGTAACAGCTTGCACCCGGCTTATGTTGCATTTGCTTAATTCATAATAACAGAGGATTTATTCTATTTTTTTTACTTTTTTACTTGTTTAATTAATTATTAAATTGATATTAACGCACAGGTGTTCTTTAAAAAAATCTGTTTTGACATTGAAAACGGATTTCAACTTATTTGAACTGTCCAACATAACACACGCCACAAACTCTTGGTAACCATTGATATTTACCTTTTTGACCAATTTATCTGGCAGAATTTATTTTTTGAAGTATAAAAGGTATACGATCTTAGATCGGAAAGATAGAGGGATTAGAAAATCGGTTCTTTAATTCCATGCAGAACTATAAACATTTTTTCGCATCAGTTTCCTTTTAAAGGGAGTGTTCGCGAAAAATGAATAATAATGAAAAATATTAACTTTATACGAATGCGTCGAAACATAATCGATGACTATTGATAATGATATCTGAATGATTTGTTTTAAATTAAATTGATCATTTTACGATCCAAGTTGAATGTTGCAACTTTCTGAATTTGTATAAACGCTACGTTCTTCAGCATTAGCCGTTTTTAACAATTATCTCCTTAAAGACACAGCAGATTAAAGTAATTCGCGAAAACTCCCTTTTAGTGATTAATTCTTGTTGATAATTATTAATTGCAATGGTTGCTCTGTTCTACGCAATGTGCATAGGACATTTATTGACCTTAAACAAGCCTCACTTAAAAAACGAATTTTCGTGACATTCGAAACAAGCAAAAAATAAAAAAAGTAAATTACTACTAGCTCTAAGTTTCATTTCGAAGATTTTAGCTTTAATGTGCATTATATTGAAGCCTCGTGCTGTAAAAAGATTGAATATTTCAGGTTTGGTTGATACGGATACATCGAGAGGTTTCAATTCATTCTCCGGGTTCAAGATTGAACAGGTTCATATATTCTCCCAACCTAGATCAGCAAATCTTTAAGTTTTAATATTCCTCCTCTTCAATCAAACTTCAACTTTTATCTAATTTTCAATAGTTAACAATTTTTTAAATCCTTATTCTTTTTTTTCCTAGGACGGATGTTTTCAATCTCCGACTGGAATCCCGTCCTACTCCGATCCGTTCAGGAATGCTTTTTAATCCAAGAACGGGAAATAAATTTAAGCTGAATATTTCCATTACAACCATCTCACAAAAAGGTGGATTTTATATGTTTTATCAGACAATTATGATACGAAATGTGAAATCCTTAAATAACTCGAAGCTATCAATTTGCACTTGGCTTTTTTTGTGAAGAGAATATAATGCCTATACAGTAGGAACCAGAAAACAGTGAAAGTTTTGTCGTCTTATATTTTCTTTATATTATTATATTTTTCACACGGAACCAATTTAAGATAAGTTCCCTCAACATTTTTTGAGATATATCTGTTGCAACAATTGCAAATACTTGAGTAAAAGAAAGAACAAAGACAACATTCGTTCCGTAGTATTCTGGTTCTCACTGTACTAGAAACAAATCTTCAAAATGAACTGTGAACATCAAGCAGAGCTTACAAAGTTTGAATGTTACGCAAAGTTAGACATTTCCAATATCAAAACCAATATATAATCCAGGAACAGTTCAGTGTCACATTTTCTATTTTATCCAACATACAATCCATTGAATCCAAACCTGTAACAAGTTCAGTATCCAGTATCCAATCATATATTCAATCCAGTATTACAGTATCCAATCCACTATCCAAACCAGTATCCAATCCTGCATTCAATCCTGCATGTAATCCAGTATCTAATCCTATACGAGCCAGAAACAATTCAGTGTCACATTCGATACACAATCCTCCATCGAATCCTTTATCTAATGCTATATGCAATCTAATATCCAATCCTACATTCAATCCAGTATACCAATCCTGAATTTAATCCTGCATCTAATCCAGTATCAAATCCTATTTGATCCAGTAAAAATGCAGTGCCCCATTTGATACACAAGCCTGCATCGAATCCTTCATAGCTAATCCTATATCCAATTCAGTATCCAATCTTGCATTCAATTAAGTGTCTAAATCCATTATAAAATCAATTATACAATCCTGTATCCACTTCAGAAATCAAGTGAGTATCCAATCATCTACCCAATCCATTATTAATTAAACATTTCCTGTATCCAATCTTGTATCCAATCTTGTATCCAATCTTGTATCCAATCTTGTATTAAATATTATCTAACCTAGTATCCAATCCTTGTTCAATCAACTCCAGTATCCAAACCGAGAAATCCAATCCATCTTAATATCTTGGCACCTTTCACGCTCATTTAGATGGATTGGAAGAGTAACCCTGGAAAGGGCGAGATAGATCTAACTTTTGCACAAAACATGATTGTTTACGGGGACTGCAGTCGTTATTTCAAATGAATCCTTAATTGAAGAGCATGGTATGTCCAAACCATAGCGGTGCCTTTGAAACAAGATATCCGTATTTTTCTAATTGAAAATTAAGTGCGGGGAAACTGTAGTTTACGCTGTACACTGTACAGTGTACACTCCGTGCCAACGAAGTCACATGGATCCCGAAGCTAGGCACCAGAGGCGTAGGGGGGGGGGGCTATGGGGGCTAAGCCTCCACCTGGACCAGTGAAATCTATGTATTTGAGAAGGTTTTCGGGCCCCATGACGTGTGCTGATCCCCCCCCCCCCCCCCCGGACAAATTTCTGACTAGGCCCAGCTGCTTGGCACTCAATTTTCAGCTAGAAAAATACGGTTGTGAAGACAGTGACTTGAATTACGCTTACAATCCCTTTAACAAACATTCATATCGTTTATTTGTAAAAAAAAAAGTTAAATAAAAAATGTTGCATCCGCATATCAAAACTATTTTGCATAAACAATTTAATTCCTGTAAATCCATCTTTTTCAGTGAAAAGGGAACTGAAGTAATTGCCCCAAATTCTGATCCCTATATCTGTGCAATCAGATGTAGTGAACCTTTGATAATTCAAATTATGATCGAAATATGATAGACTAAATAGTCATAGAAATATCAAGAACGTGGGTACTATCAGGTTTCAAAGGGATTAGAATATGTTAGGTTCTGACAAAAACTTAGATCCTTTAAACTTCCCTTTACCGACTTAAATCCATGTTAACAAAAAAACTTCCCTTTTTTCTAAACCCTTACCTTCAGTTAAGTCAGTTTAAAATTAATACAAAGTATGTTAAAAAGGTTTGGTCGAAAACGGCATGGAAATTTGCGAAAAATTGCACAAAAATGGTGGAAACTATAGTTCGTTCTTAAAAAATTTTTAAAAATTTGTGAAAACCAAGGATTTCTGAGTAAACACTAATCAAGGAGTTTTTGACATTCTGGAACATCTTTGAGTTGTAAGATTAGTTGTAATCAAAAGTAAATAAATGAGTGTTTTATTTATACTTTAAAATAGGTGAATAATCTCTTTAAAACTGAAAAGCAAACCTCCAAAATCTAGTAGACCTCCAATATCTAGTAGACCTCCAATATCTAGTAGACCTCCAATATCCAGTAGGCCTCCAACATTTGTCCAGCCCCCGGCCCCTCCACCAGGGGCCAGAGAACCAACAGGTAAAATCAAAATTTTATCAAAATATTTCATGCGAAATAAAATTTAAATGTTTATTATTGTAGACAGCTACGGTGCTCCATACTCTCCTCCAATAAGTTACAACCCTCATCCTTCGGATAGAGTTCCTAAGTACGAAGACTCCTACGGAGCCCCCCTGGCTCCCCCCATAGATTACGGATCCTTTACTGTATCAGGATCCTATCCTGTCTCCGACTCCTATGGTTCTCCTATAGCTCCCACTACTCCCCCCTCCTTCTATCCCCCGAGCCCCGAGATATTTGATAACTCTGCTCCAAGCTGGGATAATCCAGTGTTAGAAGCTAAATCTCCGACCTCAAACACACCTTACAAGCCACCCTTCTTGTCAACTACACAAACTCCTATTGTTTTCCCTACATCCTCCCCCTCCCCCCGGCTCAACCCCTATCCTCAACCCAACTCGGAGCTAGGCTCCTGTTGTGCTGTGCTCCGGGTCAGGCTAGAGGGAGAATGTTTGACCCATCAGCCCGGCAAGACTGGAGAATATCTACGCTTTGGAACCTGGAAGAGCTCTCCTGTGTATAAACAGGAGACCGGAGATAACTATGTATTCTGGGAGGACGGAGAGAACTGGAGTGGATGGATTATTGGTAGGTTTCAACTTAATTAACAATACTTACACAATTTACCTTCATTCAATATAAATCAATCATCAGTTGGTAAATACAGACTTAACCACAAAGGTTGAGACTTTAAAAACTTTATATAGGTTATATTTAGAGTTTTTTTTACATTCTTTGTATGGCTCCCTGCTGCTGTACACTTACATCATCTATTTACATTGTTATATTTAAAGATTTCAAGAAATTGACATTTTTATATTTTTTAAATAAATGGATTCTGTGAATTTTCGTCATTGGCTATGATGCATAAATCATCTTCTATATAAAAAGGAAATTAAAAACTAAATGTTTTCAATTAAATTTGTTGACAAGGTTTAACTATTAATTATCTAATAAAATCTCATCGAATCAATTAAAAAAATCCTATTAAGGTTTTGAATAACATATGATAAATTCTAAAAGAATAAAATATTTTTCCGAAAATGTCTAAATTTCTTAGATTTTAATGAAATCTGTTTGAAATCTGTGAACCAAATAAACTTTCTTCTGGATGAAATATTTTATCGAGCAATTCCATTTATACGTTATCATTCATTTCCTCGGAAAACTTTCCTTTTATTTCTAAAAAGTTTACTAACAAAAATACTGCGGTTTTCCCAAACTCAAGTTAATGAAAGGGAATACAAGTGTAATGTTAACCCTCCAATCTCCATACAAAATAGCAATGCCCAATTTACAACGGTAGCCATGAAACCTTTAAAATATATGATAAAAAATATGGAAAATATTGTATTTTTTCTCAATCAAACTGTGTTTATTTCTGTGAATTTCACTCTTGCAGAAAAACCAAAAATGAAAATAAAAAATTTTAATAAACAAAAACATGCTTTCTTCTTCATGCTGTATCAGAAAAAGCTTTTAAGGGTACCGTTGTAAATCGTGCATTGCCATCTTTGTATGGATGGTCATTGGAAATTACGCTTACAGTCCCTTTAGAAGGACTGTAAAGGAAAAATGAAAGGGGGTATAGACTGAAAGCTATTCACTTTTGCTCCTGATCGCAACCCATGAAAGTTAGATCCGATATTCCTGTCACGAAAAATGGAAATAAAATTGTGTCAAAGGAATTGAGTAGAACAAAATCAAATATTTAATCCCCAATATCTTTAGAGCCCGATGGTGAAAACATTTGATATTTCAAACTCAGATTATTTGATTTAACAGAATTTATAGTTTGAAATATCTAAGGTCTACAACATTTGGTTCCAAAGACATAGTGATTATAAAATCAGAGTTTGTGGCCAAAACTCAATTCCTTTATAAGAAAATTCATATATGCAGCAGAAATCCTACCAATGAGAGTGAAGTATACTGGTCACGTGTTTGTGTCTGTATCTCTAACATTGGTGGGAGTTCTGATGACATCATAGGATAAATAATTTATCAATTATATCTATCAAAAATAAAAATCATAAATAATAATTGGAGAAAACCAAAGTTACAATGAGGTTTCTCTGTGATATCTTCGTTTTCATATTGGTTGCGTATTTTCTGAATAGGATCTGTTTTAACCTACCATTTCTGTACTAAATTATATATATATATGAATTTTCGTATAAATTTGACACAGTTTTGTATATCAATTATTTGAGACAGGAACAGCAGATATAACTTTCAAGAGCTTAAATGTTTAGCTTTTAGCCTATATATTATTTCATTTTTCCTTTACAGTCCCTTTAATAACAATTTCTCTGATTATGTGCCACCAATATTCTAAAATGAACTCAGCCCCCCACTTTCAACTCTAAACTATTTCACCAGGATCCAACTTTCATTAATCTAGAAAGAGTTGGGGCTAAATTTAAACTTAAAATTAAACACGAGGAGATAAATGTTGTAAGGGAAGTACAGGGAGACCCATAAAAGTGTAGAAAATGGAAGACACCTGTTAAACTCAAGCAATGGTTTTTATTAGCTTAATTAACACGAAACACAAGCATTGTGTATTGTACACAGACCTATCTTACTTTATAAGTTAATTTTAACTTATATACAGTGACTTCCAGATTTATGAATTATAAGAGTTTTTTATAATGTCGTTTTACATATTTAAGATCAAATGCCGCGGAAAAATGGGTTTAATATTAATATATCAATTGCAATTCATATTTCAGGGCTATATTAAACTCTCTTTTCGCGTCATTTGATCTTAAATAAGTAATACGACATTATAAAAACTCTTGCTCTGTATTCTTCTATCTGGGATTCACTGTAATAATACTATTCACTGTAATAAAACTATTCACTGTAATAATACTATTCACTGTAATAATACTATTTGTCGTCTTCCAAACACTCCGTATTATCGGTCTTATTTTATATTTTCCAATCCTACCACAAAATATCTTCACATACAGTGGGAACCATAATATTGTGGAACATGAAGATGACTAGTTGTTTAAACAGTCCGACAAACATTAAACACAGTTAGATTGTTCATTGTAAATGTCTACTTCTTATTCGAAGTCGAGTTGGGGGGCAACGTTAGCAACCGTTTTTAAACACTCAGGATATTTAGGCTTTTAGAGACCGCTATTTAATAGCTTCGGCTCAAATTGTAATTGCTTTAACCCAAGTTTAAGGCTCAATTTTAGACCCAACTCTGACGACAGCTTATGTCACGTGATTGACAGCTGCAAGATCTTATGCCCAGTGAAAATAAAACCGGCCTTTGTTGGTTTTAGTGGAATTTTAACCCTATAAAGGCCGGAGGGTCTGAATCTATAAATAGACTGGAGGGGCGCCCCCCCCCCCCTAGAGAATAGGTTTAGGGTTGAAATGCATAGCCCAATTTTTCAAGGCCAGCTCATTGAAAAAAAATTAGACCGATAACTTTAATATTTTGGGCGCAAGGGAGGGTTGAAAAAAAAACAAAAAAAGGTTAAAAAAAATGTTAAAATTCTTTTTGTTTTGTTTTAAACAGATATCAAAGTGTGACAAACCTGACTTTTTAGCGCCCTGTACCCTACAATATGCATTAAAAAAATTTACTATTCATTAAAAGTCATAAAATTTCACGGTGATAGTGTCAAAAATGAAAGTGCTAGGACAAAAAACTATAAGGGGGGTGGGGGCCAGTCTGTTTAGGGTTAAACAGAGTTGAGTTTATACCTGGGGTCCAGGAATTACGACTTGAGCGTTTAAATCCCGGGCTCTGGAGACTCCATAAAAAATCTGAGAAATTTAACATATTTCAAAATTGAAAATGCTTTAATTACACTAAATCTTGATTCTGCAGTAGAAGATACAACCCTAAACGGGTTTTCGAATCGCTCGTTACCAACCGAAAAGAAGAAATTGTATAAAAATTATTATTATTTATGGTTTATCAGAAATGAAAATGATAAATTAGAAACTAGATTGCATATCCAGTCATTCATCTTCCTATTGAAGATTTGCCAATATTACTCAAATAAAAAAATGGGAAAAAATTGGAAAACATTGGATGCAATCTTTTCCGGCATTAATTTTCGAATTTTTTAAAATAATTTTAGGAATCTTAAAATTAGTGGAGCAAGTTAGAACAAACAACTTAAATCCCTTACGTTTACTTAATTTAAAATAAAAGAGAGTTCTATGCCTGTTTTACGAAAATATCGTCTTTCTTCTGTATTTAAATATGCGCTGAATTTTGATTAGGTGTCAAATCCGTTAAGTATTCAAAATTGTCAAACTATTGTATCTTTATTATTTTTAGCAGACGATGTTAAAAGAGCACCATCGGGAATCGGGGATGCTATTTTTTAAATGAAGAGTGACATTAAATTACGATAACTCTCCCTTTAAACTGATAATATTCAGGTTCTAATATTGGTGTTCTGAGGGGTGGTATTGCAGGGGGGAAATGTGAGAAAGGATGTCCAAATGTTCAGGTAAAAATTAAAACTAAGGAATTTTAAATTCGTTGGAAAATTCCAATGTCCCCCTTTCGTAATTTCATAAAAATATGTTTATGAAAAATAATAAACATAATTTTACGTAGCTAAACTTTTAAAACGTATTTAACAAAAATGTATCTTGTTATAAGTTGTTTTATTTGCAAAATCATGAATGTGTGAATTGTATATAAATAAAATATATAAAATATATGAATTATATAAATATATAAAATATGTAAAATATATGAAATATATAAATATATAAAATATATAAAATATATGAAATATATAAAATATATAAAATATATAAAATGTATTAAATATATAAGATATATAAAATATATAAGATATAATCAGGAGAACTGGAGATATTATAACTCACAACAGGAAGGGTTTATTACTGATACTAATATAAGGTAATCATCAATTCATTTATCCACCATCCATCCATGCTTTCATCCATGCAACTTAAAATCTGAGAAAAAAGAACAATTAAAAAGTTAGTATCTTATTTGTTGAAAGGGAGTGTTCGCAAAAAGTTGAGTCTGAAATCTATCGCTACCAATTTTACGTCTATCTGTGGCTCCTGTATTAAAGAAATGGTTGAATAAAAAGGTGTTAGATAAAAAATCATGATATCTACTTAAAAAAAGATATTCTGTAAAAATTGACTTGAATAGTTTAATAAAAATAATAATGGGTATACTCTTATTACGTACTTATTGAAACCAGTTCTCTCTGGGCGGAATTTGTAAACAAACATAGATGCATTAATATGTTCGTTTAGTTTCTGAGAAGGATAAGAGCATTAAATTTTGAACATTTTGATAATTCACATAATAGTTTCATAATATTTCATTGATTTATTATGTGAAAGATGGATCCCACACCTCTGAAATATCTTTCCTTGCATTATAATCTTGCTTTTAACTGTCTTTTCTAAGGAATTCGTAGATAAATCGTTTGATTTCGAACAACTTAGTTTGGTTGTTATTTTAAAGCCGTAATGTATGTAATGTTTACTATACTGTAAAAGTATTTTTTTTTTACATTTAAAATGGTATAAAAAATTTATTTTGTAAAAAAATTGGGCTTTTTAGTTGAACGGCTACATTAAAAATATTGTTTACTTCTATTAGCGTATGATTTAAAGGGAGTGGCTGACTAGGTTTGGTAGTTGAAATGAGAGTGCAGCTTTTAAAGAACGTTTTGGGGTCATTTTTATACCTTTAAAACATTTTTGCATATCTGAGCAAAGCGCAAATTATTTCTTTAAATATCACGAAGATGGCCTTATTCTAAAGGCTTGTTCTTAAGAATTGATTGTTTGAAATTATTCAATAAACGGCCGGACAATTAACATAACAAAAGTATTCTATTAGCTAATGTGTTGCTTAGAAACTATTAATCGAAAGAAATTATCGATGAAATCAATTAAAGAATCAAATATTTCGTTATCACTTGAATTCTTTATTTTTTCAGTTCAACTCAATACTATAGCTAACCCAAGGTTGTATAATAAGGTTGATAACTCTAAGTGCGCTCAAATTTAAGGCAAAAGTTGTCTCCTCTTTATAGCTTAAATAGATAAAATCCATATATGACGTCACTCTCACGTCTTTAATCAGTGACGTCATTTGAGGATTTTATCTATCTATGCTTGGGAAAATTTCTAAATAGAACAATTCTTATTTTACTTCTTAAAGGATTGAGTGTGCAGAAGATAGAGGGAGGAGCTTGCACTACCACACACATTATCACACAGCTAGCTCAACCCTAGACAAGGACCACACCCCCTACCACAACCCTGGCTCAGCCTTAGACAAGGAAACCAGAAAATAAATGTTTAATTTCAAACTTCAATAAAACAGAAGCTCTCTTTAAATTTCTAAAATTATTTAATGCTAATAGACAAAAATAATCTATTATACAGTGGTAGGCGATTATATCAATATAATGGAGACGACTTTCGAATTCCGTTTTGTTTTATATGAAGCTGGTTAACAGCATGGATACACATAAACATAGAGGTCAAGAGAAGCTGTCAATTTTAAAAACTTCTCGTTAATTGCATGTAAACTTGCTATTCGAAAAAAGCTTGTTAACAATCAAAACTATAAATAAAAAAGTCGTCTTCATTGTATTTCATCTGGAATTTACGAAATATTTTGTGTTCTAAATGCTTACAGAGACACCAAAAAATTCAATTAACTGAATAAAACTAAAACATACATTTTTTCATCTTTTAAGACACAAAAGTACAAAAACATTTTTAAATGCTTGTAAGCTTTTTTGGGACATGCACTTTGTTATTAAACAGTAAACAGATTATAGTTCTATTTTCTCCAACAGTTCTATTTTTATATTTTCTGGTTTATAGAAGATTACTAGTCCGTCCTACACTGTAACCGGAGACGGAAATGTCATTGAAGCAAGGTTTGTTTTTCCAGCTAATACTGGTACAACAGCAGATAAACTGGATTCTAGCAACTTTATCATCTCCCGCCAGTAAACCAGTTTCCACCAGCTAAACCTGGTACAACAGCAGATAAACTGGATTCAAGCATCTTTATCATCTCCCGCCAGTAAACCAGTTTCCAGCATCTAAACCTGGTACAACAGCAGATAAACTGGGTTTAAGCAACTTTATCATCTCCCGCCAGTAAACCAGTTTCCAGCTGTTATAAAACTAGATTCGAGAACACTCACTCTCAGCGAAATCTAAATTTTCAAATAATTATTTTAAAAGAAAAGTAGGAAAGAAACAATAATCAGTGGCCGAAATTAAAGAATTTTAGCGGCGGTTTAAATTTAAGCCGCGGCTTAAATATGGTTGGTTCCACTTAAAATTATATAAAATGTTTCAAGATTTAAGCCGGCGCTTAATTTAAACCGGGTTTTAGGAGATTTAAACCGCGGCTCAAATTCTTTAAATTCCATCTCAGAGCTATAAATAGTAAGACTCAAAGCTACAAAATGTATAGTGGTTGGGGGGTCAAATCTCAGACCTTGAGCTGCTGCTGTTTGGCTGGTCAACCTTTTTCCGAGGCTAAGCTAAAGTTTTCAGCGCCAGCTGAATAATGTATGTGAACTTTTCTACAGTTAAGTTCAAATAGAAAGAGCCATCGGAAGAATTTATAAAATGTCGTATTTTTAACTTTCTGATAATGGAATGCTGAAGATATTTAGTTTTTTAACTAAATGATTATATGGAGTTCTTTAAAACTCTTCCAGCTACTGAGATTTATGTAAAATAGAATACAACCCATTGAAGAAATGTCAAGACGACATTTTATAAATTTTTTCGATATCTCCAAATCTTTAGGTTAAATAGTCAATTATAATGAAACTTAGTCGTCTAAATCTAATCCTAGTCAGAACTATTTAAAACGTGTATTTTTTTATAAATAAAAAAAAATAATGTAAAAAAATGTTTCTCACTTACTTTTAAGACTTCCAAATCGGAAAGTGTGGTTTATGAACAGTTTAAAATTTTTGATTTGGTTTATTTTGTGTGAGCATTTGCCGCAATACTTATTACTGTTAGGAAGACGACATTACCATTGCATCGGGTAGTTTAGAACCAGCACTGACGCGGGAGCTGCATACAGGTGTATATTTCTGAGTAATCGATCAATCAACATGTAGAGTTCGGGGTCATTGTATGTGGTGCACATTATTGTCTGCACAAAAACTCTCCACAGTGGGTTAAGTGGTTCCGGGGAGGGATCGTGGCCAGAACTTAGTCTTAGTAATTATGGAAAAACAAGCATTTTCTTTCTTTAAGCCCATTGTGCATTTTTACATAAACGTTTGATGATACAGCTGCTGCTGGGAGGAGCCATGAATTTGAATAAGGAGGTCAAATAAATTCTGTGCAGTCATCTCATCTTTTGTGGGTAATATATAGTTTAGTTCGATAGGGTTTACTGAAAGCACTATAAGGGTAAAATGCGCGTAAGCTCAGGTCAGTGCTATGGCTAGGTTATCGGGAAAATTGTAAATTTAAGAGAATATAATTAATATTGTAATTTTGCATCATAAACCTTGGTGGAATTGGAGATCCAGTCGAGTAGCAACTCAACCAAATGTCGTCTTTTGCTAGAAAATTTTTCGAAAACTTTATTGCAAATCTTTTCAAACATATAATCATAATTCTTCAGGAATCTTACTCTAGGTGGGGGCAGGGACATGGGAAAAGGGTGTGCAAAGCTTCCAATCATTAATGACAGAACATTCCTCAACTTTACTACTTTTAATTATATTGTTCATTCATCAGAGCTAACAAGCATACAAGGTGTCTCACGAAACATGACAGTAGCAAGACGACTTGTAAGTCGTATTTAATCTTGGAATTTATTTGTGACATTCAGTTGTCAACCTACTTTAACATGTATGATTCTTAAACCAATAACCAAGCAAAATAAGCAGTTTTGATATTAAACTTGTACAAATGCTATATCTCAGTTATATATATATCACCAAATACAAGCTAAAATAAGCAGTTTTGATATTAAACTCGTAAAAATGCTATATCTCAGCTAGCTATATATATATATCACCAAATACAAGCTAAAATGAGCAGTTTTGATATTAAACTCGTAAAAATGCTATATCTAAGCTATATATATATCACCAAATACAAGCTAAAATAAGCAGTTTTGATATTAAACTTGGTAAAAATGCTATATCTCAGCTATATATATATCACCAAATACAAGCTAAAATAAGCAGTTTTGATAATAAACTTGTAAAAATGTAATATGTCAGCTATATATCACCAAATGCAAGCTAAAATAAGCAGTTTTGATAATACATTTGTAAAATGTGATATGTCAGCCATATATATATATATATATATCACCAAATGCAAGCTAAAATAAGCACGTTTTAATAATAAACTTGTAAAAATGTTATATGTCAGCTATATATATATATATATATATATATATCACCAAATACAAGCTAAAATAAGCACGTTTTAATAATAAGCTTGTAAGAATGTTAGGTGTATTGCTATAGATATTATCAAATTCAAGCTAAAATAACTGTCTCTGTAAACTTCTGTTTATTTATAAGTTACAAACATACCGATTATAAAGACGGTAACACGGGACGTACGCCAAATGAATCATCTCCCTCTTGTGATCGAGATTTTTAATTGCTATGTTTAAGAGATGAAAAATCGTGTACTATAGATTAAAATGTTGCTAACCAAGTTTCTGAATCAAGTTGTGAAAATCTACTCCTACATATGAAATTAAAATTCAGTTAAACTTGGAACAGTTTTCTTTTTATAAAATCATTCTAACATTTTTGAGAATTTAAATCTAAAAAATTAACTAAATTAACTAAATCACAGTGATGGGGGAAGGTTTTATAAGTTACTACTAAAAATTTATTATGTTTTTTATGTTATCTTTCTATCCCCGACTTTTCGGCAGTTCTGACTTTTAATGGGTAGTTTTGACTTTTTATGAAAATTGCACAAAATGTTTTAAATCGCGGTGAATGGGAAGATGGCATGCATGCTTCTCATCACATTAAGAAACTTCTTATTCATAGATTTTAAATATTCATTCCTAAACTTCTAGAATTCTTTTTTTAATTAAATCAAACTATATTGAAATAATCTATTAAAGGATTTAGTGTTCTAATCGTTAAATGAAGATATGGGTTTACCTATATATTTTTGATGTCACATACTTCAGGGGTACACACCGACATAGGGTCAAACGACATAGAGTCAAACGACATAGGGTCAAACGACCTAGGGTCAAACGAAAAACGGTCAAAAACTTGACAAAGGGCAAAACGACAAAGGGTCAAAATGAAAAAAATATTTAATGTATTATTTCAGGGTTAGGTTAGGTTAAGACAATTTTTGAGCCGAGCGCTGCGGCTATGACAGGCTATGGGGGCCGAACGCTGCTGCTGGTAGTTCATATGAACATAAAACATAACATAAAAATATGTATTATTTCATGGTAAGGTTAGGTTAAGAAAATATCTGTGCCCAGTGCTGCGGCTAGGACAGGCTAGGGTTCGAGCGCTGCGGCTGCTAGTTTTAATGAACATAAAAATAAAATTTCTTCTTTTTCCGCTTGAGGTCATTTGTAAATTTGTAATGCAAAATTATTTTTCTTTAAACAAGAATTTGAATTTTTATAATTGTGGTTTTAAGTTTTAATTAGAATTCCCGGCATTCATTGATGAAAACGATCTGCAGTGAGATTAGCGTACATACAGGGTGTTCCACGAAACATGACAGTGCGTGAGTAGTTTTGAATGTCTTCTTCCATATACTGTATTATACATTATAGACTTTTTGCAGTTTATTTAGTTTAAAAAATCTTTTAATCAAATAAATTTTTCTTTGAAATCATTTTTACTATCATATGGCTAGCATGCAAATTTTTATATTATTCTTTAGGGGTTTAAACAACTTAACAAACTATGGAAGAAGACATTTTAAATTTTTCACCAACTGTCATGTTTCGTGGGACACCCTGTATTTTACTGGGATCTAAAGGTAAAAATAGTGGATAGGTTGGAAAATACTTTTTAAATACTAAAGTCTAACACAAGTGCTGACTAGTTCTAAAATCTACATGTCTAATGGCTACAAAAATATATGGAAAATGATGTCACTTTCTATCAGCCTGTATAATGATTAAAGATCAATCAAAAATTTATTTTTATGTTTACGTTTATTACAGGGACAATTTTTTAGCAATTTAAATTTCAACAGTTTTCATGGTTGGCATAGTTCAAGGACTTTTATTCCCCAGTTACAAATACAGCTAAAAATTTGATAAATTGAAGTAAAAACATTTATAAAGAAATAGTAGTAATCCTACACACACACATATTCATATTTTAGTATTTACAATCTTAATAATATTATATTTATATTTTATATCGAAATAAACTAAAAGTCAAATTTATATTTAATTTTTTTTTCGACGCGCTTCACATTTTAGCTGCAAAGTGCAGATAAATTAAAAATTTATTTTCAAATTAAAATTGAAACAACTTTTCTGAAATTGCATCAATTCTAAATCTGAGGAAAGACATTTTAAAAGTTTAAAATCCTCCAAAACCATACAAGCTTTCATTCAATTATCTTAGAACTGAAAATTTGATATTTGATAATTAAAAAAACTCAGAAGTTCAAGAATTACATTCATGCAATTTAAAATTTTATCAGCCATTTAGATGGACCTACCCTGGAAATGTGGAATTAATTGCTATATAGGGTTTCCATTCGCAAAACTTTTGCGCAATTTTTGCGGAACGAAACGCAATATTTTTCTTTCTTTGCGCATCAATTTTGCGCGAAAAAAAAACTAAAATTTCGTTTCATGCGTAACTTTTGCAAAAAATATTTCCGGTTTTGCGCAAATTGCGCAAAATAAATAGCGCAAAACCGCGCAAAACTCATTGCGTTTCATGCGCAAAAATAGCGCAAAAGTTCGCAAAAATAAAATTTGCGCGAAAATAGCGCAAATTTTGCGCAAAAGATTTAGCCATTT